CTATGTTTTGTATATGAAGTGATAACCATTAGAAATTCTATTACAGAAAGTAACCATATGCAAGGTATAACAAAAACCTTGTTATTATGAAGCACAAGGATATGAATCCATCACATAATGGTTTCTAATCTTTTGTTGATATACAGGGGATCCAAACACGTGTAATTTAGAGCCAGAAGTCGTTGACCCCAGGATGCGTAGAAATGAAAGGCAAAGAGCACAACGTGTGTCAATGCCTCTCGAGAAAAGGAATGAAATAAATAGAAAGCGTCGTGAATCACATAAAAGAAAAAAAAAGAAAGGGCAACCTACACTCCACGAAGCATCCAATAGTGACGTTATGTAAAATTATGCCATTTTTACAACTTATATCTAACGTTCCTTATATAGTGCTAAAACAATTTGCAGATTGTGACCCCGCATTAAACATGAAAAATGAGGAACCCGCTGAAACTGTTGATTGGCTACATAAGAATAACTCATATCAGCCCCACAATGCAGACGACGAGAACATTTCCTCTCACCTACCAGGTACTTTTTGTGTTTTCCATTTGTCATAAGGCAAGTTCATGTTTAGAGTCATATTTTATAAAATGTTAACATTTATATGTAGGTCATTACAAAATAGGATGTGGAGACACCGACAACATCATTGACTTGACTAATGTCTCTCGTATTACCACTCCAGGTACACGGACAAATTATTATTATTATTATTACTACTAAAAAGAGCCAAATGTCATCGTCACCGCTAAACTAATCGCCCCTCCGCGGTAATCGCATAGCTCGGGGAAAAAACGCTCCCTAATCACCGCCTTCGAGAAAAAAACGGAGCGCTCGCTCGCGCCGCCTTAGGGGGGAAAATGAACCGCTCTGTATCTCCTGCGACCCGGGTCATCCGCTCCCATGCCTCCCCACGATCCCACGTCACCAGATCGACGGCGGCACCGATGCCCACACACCATCTACGTTCCTCGGCTCGGCCTCGCGTCATCTCTCCCCGTGGCATTGCTTCGCCTGGCGCCTTCGTTCCTCGCTCCCGGCGGGCCCCGGCCTCGCATCGTCTCTCCCCCGCGACATCGGCATGGCCTTGCCCGACGCCTCCTGATTCAGCGCCTCGCTTGGTAGATTCTATGGGTTGGGCGGCTGAACTTCAGCCTGCGAATGAGCATGTCATCGTTCTCGTCACCGCCACCGGACCCTTCACGGAGGCAGACAACATACCGGTCACCAGAGGGAGCAGAGGCTCAACCCCGATCTGCAACAATAGCTCCCCAAGCCATGTACGCATCTTGATCTATCTGCATCCTCCACTTCTCTGTTGCCTGTACGATGATTGTTGTGGCGTTGAGTTTTTTTTTGTTCCCCTGCAGATCTCGCGAGAGCTCTAGAGGCGGTGGATGGTGGACCCCATCGGTACTACCTCCACGGCATGACCGTGCTTCAGCAGCACGCTGCCTTCTTCGACTGCAAAGGCGACGGCATCATCTTCCTCTGGGACTGAGACGAGATGTTTCAATGTACATGGCCAACTGATTAATCACTGGACGTGAATGCGTGATCGATCTCAGTAGTAGTGATGATTGGCTATAGTCATGTAGTCAAGCAAATCGGTCTATTTAATTCTAATTTTTCTCGACATGTGCATCATCGTCACCCAATCGTCATCATCATATCAACAGCGCACATGGTTTGGTCTTCCAGGACGTCCGTATCATCATCATAGTGGACGGCATCGATCGCCTGGAGAGGACGGGATGCGCCAGCAGGCAGCAGGGTCTTCATCCCAAAGATCCTGCCCAGAGTCTTCACCAAATACCGAAGCCTCTCTACATCACGTGAGACGTCTCAGAACCGTCGCCCACTGGATTTCCTGCCCGACGTTGATTCCTTAAAGTCCATCCCTGCCCCACGCCAGCTTAATCACGTAAGCGTGAATCTCTACCGAACTCAAGAACTGAAAGGTGTGGACGAACCGACAATAGTTCCTGTTTTCCCATTACGAATGAATCATGCTTGTGGACGTAGTACGGAATGATGTTACCAAGCAAACATAAGCGATGCCTTTTAGTTGATTGGATCCCCTACTGGTAGTAGTTGCATTCTTAGTGTAAGCGCTAAGTGCCACCAAGATGTTTTTCATTTACTGTGTTTTTATTGAATCTTCTCTTGCCTTTCGACAGGCTGCAAGGATGACCAGTTGGCTCCGAAATCCAACTGAAAGGATAGAGCAAACCTCCTTAACCTGCTGCAGTTTACCTTCTCTGTTTCAGTTCAGTCATTTTCCTTTCTACTTTCCTGACTTTTTTTTTTCCTTTCTTTCATGTGTTTACCAACCGATGTTCAGAGAGCATCTGCGTTGTGACAAAGCTACAAGGGTAGCTCACCAATTCATGGATTGGTAGTGGATTTTAACAACCGGAAAAACATTATCTACCCATGTGTAGAAGACTAATGGATTGATCATTAGAGTATGATGAATGATTCATTTTAGCAAATTGTGTGACAAGATTGTCAATGATGCTTTGGTTTTGTGTTTAGTTAGCTTTGATATAGATGGTATGTAATCTAAAATCATTTATTGTTTTTAGCTGACAATTAGTACTTTGACATCAAGTTTGTTCAAGTAGGCTTATATAATCATTCGTTTAATAAAGTTGAAGGTATAATATATCTTTTCTTTTTATTAAATATTGTTGAGGCATGTATGCATCATTTTTATGTTGTGCTTGTCATGATAACATGAATTTGGTATGACAAGTCAGATATTTGCACTAATTTTGTAGTTTTAAGTTGCTGACAAGTAAAAGTTTGAATCCAAGTTTATTATTCCCGTCGCAACGCACGGGCACTCACCTAGTATATTAAATGACTCACTGATTCAAGTACCTTCATTATTAAAGAGTGATTGTAATTAATGTATGCATTCTAAACTTTAGGTCAGAACCTTAATTCCGTAGCTGATAGTCTACATTTATTAAGAGAGAAAAAATACGCTTACACCCGAGAGTGGTACCAAAAAATGTCATGCGAGCATAGGATAGCTAGGCAAGAACACGACCGATTGAACAATGCAAGGCCCAAACGACAACAGGCAAAGAGAGCCTCTAAAAGAAGACGAAAGGAGATGTGTGCTAACACTCTACACCTCGATTCCATTGCCATGGAGAATCCTATGTATCAGTATAAACATCACAATACCTTTTTAAATCTAGGTCAAGCAATTGCTTAATGTTTGTCTACCACGATCATTAATATTTTTCTTTGTTTTGTATACAGAAAAATATATCGCACGGATGGTGGTAAATCTTACATTAATTATTTATTGCAATGCAACATTTGGTACAATAGAATCATGTTGAACATAGTTAATATGGTATGAATTAATTTGGTTATTTTGATTATCTATCTACACCTTAAAAAAATACACAGACATGTTCAAAAATTTGTGACCTCCGTGCAACGCATGGACATATATCTAGTAGTTTTATAATTAGCTCATGTTTAGTTCTTCTAATTAGCATCTAAACATTCGATGTGACAGAAACTAAACTTTAGTCATCGGATCTAAACACCCCCAAAGTGTGGCCTCTTCTCGAGAGTCAAGACCCGACAGCCGGATCAAGCAGAGGCATACAACACGAGGACGAGCTAAGAGACTAGTTGCGGAATTGTGAGCTCGCGAATGCAGAGACGGAGGGGGTTAACTGGAAGGCTCTAGAAACATTACCACGAGACGTCAAACTGACGCTGATAGCACATTAGCAGAGACGGAGGGGTAACCAGAAGGCTCTAGAAACATTACCACGAGACGCCAAACTGATGCTGATAGCACATTAGCACGTTTGAACGAAGGACACGTGGCAAAATAATAAGCTTGATTCGTTGGTGCAGATTTGGTTTCGTAAGAGATAATAAGCTTATTATAATAATCACACTATAAAAGAGCGAGTTTTTAGGGTATTCTTCCTCTGTAATAACCGTTCGATCTATACGCTGTGCTATATGAGTCCTCCGTCATGCATGATCTTACTCTTCCTCTAATAATCGTTCGATATACACGTCGTGCTATATGAGCCATCCGTCATACGCGATCTTATATGTATAAGTATTATAAGGCCTTGTTTAATTTCTCTCCCTAAAGTGTACTCCCTATCTCATCGAATATTTGAACACATGCATGGAGTATTAAATATAAACTAAAAAATAACTAATTGCATAATTTGCGACTAATTTAATAGACGAATCTTTTAAGCCTAATTAGTCTATGATTTGACAATGTTGTGCTACAGTAACACATGTGCTAATGACGGATTAATTAGGCTTAATAAATTCATCTTGCGGATTACTGATAGATTCTGTAATTTGTTTTTTTTCCTGTTCGCTTCTCTTATAATCCATCTTTTTCAGCTTGTTTTTTTCAGCCGGAACAGTGTTTTTCTCTCACAACAAATCAGTCGGAATAGTGTTTTGGTTTGTTTTTTCAGCGAAGCGAACGGAGCCTTTATTAGTATCCGAACACTCTATGTAACACCCGATGGGACACCGTAAAACTTTAGGTACTGAATTTAAACAAGATCTAATTAAAGTCTTATATGCGGGGCTAGTGGGCTAGCAGACTGTCTACGATGACGCAACCCGTTGTCACCATTAAGCCTTTGCTTCTTTTGGGCCAGCACAGACCACGCGGTCCGGCCCACAGAATCCAGCTCAACCCTCTTTATCCAGCCCAGAAAAGGCAGCCAAATCTCCAACCTGTTCGTTTGATCTTGAGAAAAATTCTATATCATAATTGTATCATGCCTGATACGATAACAGGCTGCTCGTCTCTGCCTCCGTGACGGTGCCGTCCGACGTCACCGCACAGCCAGTCTGTCACGTGTCGCGGCACCACCCGCGCCCCCACCTCCCCTTTTCCCGCACGCCGTCGGATCCCCACCACCACCACCCCCACCTCCCCTTTTCCCGCAGCGCGGCAGCGGCACCTGCCACCAGCGGCCATGGATCTGCTCCCGCCGCCGACTGACGCGCCGGACGCCGGCGGCCCCGGCGCCGGGGGGTCGGGCCGGGGGCTGCGACGCGGGGTCGGGTTCCGGTCGCTGAAGCTGGTCAGCGTTGCCATGGACGAGACCCTGCCCGTCGACCCCGTCGGCGCCACGTACGGCCGCCTCGCCAACGGCCTCACCTACTACGTCCGCTCCAACCCAAAGCCACGCATGCGCGCCGCGCTCTCGCTCGCCGTCAAGGTCGGGTCAGTGCTGCTACTCTCGCCGCGCCTCTAGTTTGGCTCCCCTGTTTACCCCCTTCGAGCGTTTGCTGACTTTCATGTCGTGCTCATCGCTCGGTTGGTTCGCTCTTAGGTCGGTGGTGGAGGAGGAGGACGAGCGCGGTGTGGCGCACATCGTCGAGCACCTCGCCTTCAGTGCCACCTCGCGATATACCAATCACGACATCGTCAAGTTCCTCGAGAGCATCGGGGCTGAGTTTGGTGCCTGCCAGAACGCGCTCACCTCATCGGATGAGACCATCTACGAGCTGCTCGTACCCGTCGACAAGCCAGGCCTGCTCTCCCAGGCTATATCTGTCCTCGCTGAGTTCAGCTCAGAGGTGACTACACGGGTCCAGATTCTTAATGCTAGCTTTGTTGTTGCAATCTCAGCTGATTGATGCATGCGAGTACAATGGCTGATTGATGCATGCCAGAGAGTTCAATGTCTGATTGATGCCTGGAAACTAATGTTGGTCACAACTCACCAGGTTCGGGTGTCAGCAGAGGATCTGGAGAAAGAGAGGGGTGCTGTGCTGGAGGAATACAGGGGTGGGCGCAATGCAGCAGGACGGATGCAGGACTCCCACTGGGCACTGTTGTTTGAAGGTTCTAAGGTATTAGCCTCTGTCTTCATATAAGTGAAAAATTCTGTGTGCTGCAATGAGATCACTTGTTCCATCTACCATTTGTTCGTATAAATGAAAAATCCTGTGTTGCGATGAGATCACTTGTTCCATCATATACTATTTGTCACAATAGGCTAAACTTGCATTACTGAAAGTTGTTACGAATAAAGGGAGATTGAACTGGATTGTGGCATCGAGGCCTGATAGGGGGACTATATATAGAATACATGGGGATACAGGAGAGAAACCCTAGACTAGGGAGATTCGACTTTTCCGTGGCGGGATACGTCTTATGGTGCTTAAATTTGGATTACCTTTTTCTGCCTTTTGTGTCACTCTGTTTGGGGTTGAAAATGGTGTATTCTAATTAATTTACTCTTTACCAGTATGCAGAACGCCTGCCGATTGGTACTGAGAAGGTGATACGAACTGTTACACATGAGACTGTGAAGCGGTTTTATCAGAAATGGTACCATCTAAGCAATATGGCAGTATTTGCAGTGGGTGATTTCCCAGATACACAGGTTTGGATTATGCACATCTTTTTCACATGTATCTGTTTGAGAAATAAGAAACTAGAGGTATGTATCTGCAATGGTATTTACCATCCTTTATGTTTCATGACTTAAAATTGCAGGCTGTTGTGGAGTTGATAAAGGAGCATTTTGGGCACAAAGCCCCAGCTCCCCACCCTCCTCCAGTTATACCAGAATTTCCAGTTCCATCACATGAGGAACCTCGCTTTTCATGTTTTGTGGAATCTGAAGCCGCAGGGGTTGTTATTTCATATTCTTTTGAACAGATTTGATATATTTTAAGATCAGCTTTGTATAATAATGTACTTTTTTGTTTTCCTTTGTACCAAAAACAGTCGGCTGTTGTTATCAGCTGCAAGATGCCTGCTGGTGGAATTAAAACAGTAAAGGACTACAAGGATTCACTGGCAGAGTCCATGTTTCATTGTGCGCTAAACCAGAGGCTCTTCAAAATATCTCGTAGAAAGGATCCTCCTTACTTCTCTTGCTCCTCAGCTGCAGATGCTCTTGTCTGTCCAGTTAAGGCTTACATTATGACATCTAGTTGTCGTGAAAGGGGAACAGTTGAAGCTCTTGAGTCCATGCTTCTTGAGGTATTTTTTAACCTTGATCTCTGAAAGAATAAAGATAAATCTAGTATTCTTTAATAGTGCATTATTCAAGTTTATGAGTGAATATTCAGTGTAAGTGCCACAAAAGTTGAAAAGACTAAAGAGTGAGAAATTTGGCTCTAAAAGCTTTAGAAGTTTCCTGAGGATCAACTATAGGGCATGGTACGTTTCATAGCCATGCAGCTTCTCAACATCAGATATTAATCATGTCTTTCAGACAAATACCAAATGAAAACAGGTCATGTTCCTTAAGGGTAGTTTTCATTCCCAGTAAAACCCTTCATATATAGTAGTATAAGAACACATGATCTAGTGTGCCATGTCATCAACTGATTAGATTTTGAACAATCAGTTCAGACTACTCTTTGTTTGCATCTGTTTAGTGTGGCAGATGATTGTTAATTAGCACATTAACAGGCATATGTAATGTAGATATCTGAATTTAAAGCTGCTGTATAACCACCGCCACTTTCTCCAATTTCAAAATGGCATTTTATTTCAAAACATCCTTCTGACAGGATGCTTCTTTAGGTTGCTAGGGTACGGCTCCATGGATTTTCTGACCGTGAGATATCCATTGTACGCGCCCTAATGATGTCAGAGATGGAGTCTGCATATTTGGAGCGTGATCAAATGCAATCGACCAGCTTACGAGATGAGTTTTTGCAGGTTTGAAATTTTATGGCTGTTTAATACAACTAAAATAAAATAAAATTTATATCATATGCATGCTAGTTGCTCTTCAGTTCTTATCTCATCTTGCAAATCAAAATATATACCACCTTCTGTTCTGTTTTCAAATGACTTTACTTCAATAATATTGACGTGTACTAAGACCACAACTCCACATGTTGGTCGACTATTTAAGTGAAATTCCAGGATCCCCCATCTATACAGCTTCTAAGCACATTAATGCAATTTGTATTTTTCTTGCAGCATTTTCTTCGTGAGGAACCTGTTGTTGGGATTGAATATGAAGCACAATTACAAAAGACTCTGCTTCCCCGTAAGCATACCTCTGTGTTGCCTAGTGTAAAATCTTAGGTGTTAAATTCCTGATGTTATTTACCCTCTCCCTCGTAAACCTTTATAACCAATTAATTTCTTATAAATCCACATACCGTCACCGCAGTTGTTCAGTCATCTATATTTATACATGTTTACTTTCGACCAGATATTTCTTCTGCGGAAGTGGCAAAATTTGCAGAAAACTTTTCAACAGCCAGCAGCTGTGTTATCAAGATAGTTGAACCTCGAGCTCATGCTTCTTTGGAGGATCTGAAAGCAGTTGTGTTGAAAGTCAACAGTCTGGAAGAAGAAAAATCTATTCCTCCATGGGATGAAGAACAAATTCCAGAAGAAATTGTTGCTCAAGCTCCAGAGCCAGGGTATCTTTGTCTCCTTCATGTGTACTATTTTCATCATTATCTGAATCTACCATCTTCTCATTCTTTGATTCTTATAAATCTTAACTAGCTGTATTGAAACCATTCTCTACCTTTTCTTTTGCTGTTTGAGGATTTTATTTTAGTATGTGACTGATGCCCGCTATTGTACTTACCATATTCATTGTAGGACTATAATTGATAAAGTGGAGCACCCAGGCATAGGTGCCACTGAGATGATACTTTCAAATGGCATGCGGATTTGTTACAAGTATACTGATTTTCTTGATGACCAGGTTAGTAGTATCTATTAATTTTATGTCACCTTGCAGCCTGCTACTTCAGGCACTCCCATCTTTATTCTGTGGAATCACATAGTCACTGATGTAGACATCTAGAACTAGAATACATTTTGACCAATTTATTCTATGAACATCATCTGCATGCCACACTCTATATCTGTATTAGGTTTTTCTCCATGCCTACTATTATTTACCACATGCATGGAATAGATCTGACGGTGCTTAATTCTAAGTATTCTGGGATTCTGAGGACTACAGCTACATTTGTTGGTCTTGGGATGTTTCTAAATCTAAAGTTGAAAAAAAAAAATAACCTAGGAGGAATTAGGTGGCATTTTATTAAGAAAAAAATAGGCACCCAAATTCGCCTTGACGAGGACTAGAATCTAGGTGGTCTGGGCATACATCCACACCCTCAACCAACTGAGCTTGCTCAGCTTCCTAAATCTAAGGTTTAAATATGATGATATGTTGTCAACCTGACTCCATTTACAAGGGAAGTAATTGTCAACATGATTCAGGGTGTTTTCGCTGTTAGACTGAAATATATTCATCTAATAATAATATAAAAAAATATAGTTTCCCATTTTTTCTTATGATGAGCGAACAGAGGGAAGTAGTTCATGTCTGCCCCAAAAACACCTTGCATGTTCGTTTGTACTTCAGTTTAGCATAATCACATGAATCTATTGTATTTGCACATTGAACATTTGTTTCACAAGGACTAAATTTATGCATATAGATAAAAGCAAACTACAACAGTTTTTTTAGATGTATAACTAATAGTGCCAAGCTTTTCCTCGTTCTTGAAGCTCTCAACGCACTTTATTTTTCATTATTGTGTGATATACTGAAGAAAAGATCAAATAAGTGATCTGTACATGAAATTTAGAAAGGACGAAACATATGAAATATTTAATATAGATGGGAAGGGAATAGTTTCATGAATAGCTATCTAATTACCATGTGAACTTATGCACTGTATAGAAACAATAATTTACACATTTATGGAACAACAATTTACCTTTTCTTTTTCAATATTTTTCGACCAAGTTCACTGTCCTTTAGTTAAAGAAAACTGCATCTGATACTGTCATTTTGTCTTCGTTTTGTCTGTTCTGGTCTATTATCAGAAAATTAGTTCATTTATTGTATTGCATGCAACTTTTAAATCATCCTTAAGATATCATTTGTTCTCCTAATGCATTCTTTCATTATAGTAAATTCCCAGTCTAGTTTTCCATGGGTCATTTATCATTTTGTTCAGAGAGGTGCAATTACAATTTTGCTTCTGTCGCAGTATTTAGTGATATACTTCGTGTTGTGCTTATTATTTATTTTCAGGTTGTTTTTACTGGCTTTGCCTATGGTGGTCTGTCAGAATTATCTGAAGCTGAGTATACTTCATGCTCAATGGGTTCGACCATAGCAGGAGAAATTGGCACTTTTGGCTACAGACCTTCTGTCTTGATGGACATGGTTGCTGGCAAGAGAGCCGAAGTTGGTACAAAAGTGGGGGCCTACATGAGAACATTTTCTGGCGATTGCTCACCTTCAGATCTTGAGACAGCTTTGCAGGTATGCTTCTGTTAAAGCATTCTTAGATACATGCTGAATTCAACAGAAAGAAACACAGTTTACCTATAGTGATAACAGCACCTGTTTCTAGTTTTCATCAAAATGTGGACCTATGCTTATACTTGACTGGGTACAGCTTGTTTATCAACTATTTACAACAAATGTGGAGCCAAGGGAGGAAGAAGTAAAAATAGTGATGCAAATGGCAGAGGAAGCAATCTATGCTCAAGAGCGTGATCCATACACTGCATTTGCGAATCGTGTTCGTGAAATAAATTATGGGAACTCATACTTTTTTAAGGTACTTAACTGGGCAAAACTTTACTCAGTTTTTTTTCTTGTCATATCATATCCTAGAAATTTACCTTAGTTCTATATAATGCAGCCAATTAGAATAAGTGACTTGAAGAAGGTGGATCCAATCAGAGCATGTGAATATTTCAACAATTGTTTCAAGGATCCATCAGCTTTTACGGTGGTAATAGTTGGAAAAATAGACCCAGCTATCTCACTTCCACTGGTTCTGCAGTACTTGGTATGTTCTGTTCCTTTTTCTTATTGTCTGAAACAATGAAGCAACACTTAATAATGCTCATTAACTCCACTTTTTGTAGGGTGGAATACCTAGGGTACAGGATGCTGCTCAACCACTTAGTCGTGATGATCTAAGAGGATTGCCGTTTAAGTTTCCTGCGACCATCATTAGGTACTCCAGTGTTCTGTTTTGCATTTATATGCTTTGGAAGATTTATCTGTATATGTTTGTGTCATACATGCACATGCAGAGCTAAGCAAGCAATCTCTTTCTTTTCCCTGAATTATGCCTTTTTGATTACTGTTAATCTTAGTGTACACCTTGTTTCCAGAGAAGTTGTCCGCAGCCCTATGGTTGAAGCACAGTGCTTTGTACAACTAGCATTTCCTGTTGTTCTTAAGAACACAATGATGGTGAGTACTGACTACTGAGTAGCAATCAAAACAGTCTCATTTTTACTGTTAATGATTAAGTGTTGTATCTCCCATCTTAAGGTATTATATTCTTCTGTTTGTGTAGACAGAAGATATTCACTATGTTGGGTTTCTTAGTAAACTTCTGGAAACGAAAATCATGCAAGTACTTCGGTTCAAATATGGGCAGGTTAGGAATATCAATTATATGCAGATCCAGATTGGGAATTCCTTAAACTTGGATTTTAGAATCTGGGTTTCCTTAAACGAATCCTTATGTTATGCAGATCTATTCAGTTAACGTAGCTGTCTTCTTGGGTGGCAACAAACCCTCAAGAACTGGAGATGTTCGTGGAGACATAAGCGTGAATTTCTCATGTGATCCAGACATATCATCTAAACTGGTATGTCACATCAAGTCATTACATTTTGGAATACGTATATCCAATTGTTTTTTATGCAGCTTGAGTTTACTAACTCAGAATTTCTTCAGGTTGATTTTGTTCTGGAGGAAATATCATATCTACAGGTGGAAGGTCCTTCTGAAGAAGATGTATTGACCATCCTCGAAATTGAACAAAGAGCTCATGAAAATGGATTACAGGTTTAGTTGAATCTGTAATGCTCCAATTAGTGCTGATGCACATAGGTAGTTATTACTTTAGTTACAGCTCTTTGCATCTTTTACAAATTGCAGGAGAATTACTTCTGGTTGGATCGTATTCTGCGGAGCTATCAGTCAAGGCTTTTTTCTGGAGATATTGGATCCACCTTTGCGGTAATACTGATTTTCATTTTCTGGTTCTTCATTTTCCTGCTGACTTTTCAGTGTAAGGCAGCAAACATTGATCAGTAGATCCATATGCTTGTAGCTTTTTTGCTGCATTACAAGCAATGCTGTTGACTGTTACACATGCTTGGCAGTCTGCCTTTTTGTTTTACGGTGAACTTCACATTTGAAATGTTGCCCCTTTGTTTTTCTTTGTGCAGTTCCAAGAGGAGGGGCGCATAAAGGTTAGGGATGCTTTGACACCACAGACTATGCAATCGGCCTTGCAAAGAGTTATACCTTTCCCTTGCAGAAATCAGTACACTGTGGTTATTCTTATGCCAAAGTCATCCTGTTGGGCATCAGTGAAGTCAATGCTTAGCTGGAGCTCTAATGGGGTTAGCAGAGATGCTAAGGTTTGGATAAAAGTTTTCATTTATTTTGCAACATCCTATTCTCTTTTCAGCATGCTGAACCTGAGAACCACTACCTTGCAGATTCTTGCTGGCATGGCCGGTGCACTGGTGTTGGCAGTGAGTTTGTGGAGATACTCTCGTAGTGCGCTAAAATCATAGTGTCTGATACAACTGACCGTTTTTTGGGGACTTCCAGTCAGATCTGAAAATGGATCAGGTTAGGAACTGATATACGAGCTGTCAATAGATATTTGTTCTACCTGAGCACCTACCCGGTGTTTGGAGATTTGGTAACAAAAGAGGCTACACTATAACAAAATTGGTAGCTAACAGATTCGTTGCCGCATGTGTGCGTGTAGTCCCTGTAACCTCATTGGTTGTACCGCCGCGCATGTGCATTAGCCGTCGGTGTATAATAATGGCTACCCTCCCATTTGATTTCATAGGCAGGACTGAAGTAGTGGCAACTGTGGTAGAATGGTGGAAACTGGAAACCCAACATTGTAGATCGCTTTACTGGTCCCATTTCTGTGGACGGCTTTGTATCTGTACGTGTTTCCGATGACCCAGAATATGAGGGGGAAAAATAGAATGAGCAGGAAATGTGATATTTCGTTCTGCCGCTCCGTTCGTTTTCATGTTGGCTAGGACAGCGTCCGAGCATGGGCAGGCGTCTTGATTTTGCCAGAATGTACTTGTCTGTCCGTGGTGGTTTTATTTCTCTCTGATTCGTTTCCGGAGCCAACAAAGATTTGCTTACAGCTCCGATGTTGGGATTGCAATACAGTACGCCTGTACTGTACGTGTGCATTATTTGAGCCGAGCCGAAACGTGCAATCAACCAAAGTGAATGGATACTCGAGCAGTCCAGCGTCTGATCTGATTTGTACCCCTTCGAAAAAAAATGTGACGCGTGGGAACAGCACGAGCCCTCACGTCCAAGTTTCGGATAAAGGAGCACGAGGCGGGTCTTGACTGTCCCACGAGCCGCGCCGACCAAACCACACCGGCGTCCCCACGGAGAAAGAATCCCTCAGTTGAAAATTTGTGTCATATCGGAGGTGTCGGTAGAATATTGGGAAGGGTTTTTGATAATAATAAAAAAATAAATTACAGAATTCATTAAAAAACTGCGAGACAAATTTAATGATACTAATTAATTGATCATTAGCACACGTGGGTACTGTAGCACTTAAGGCTTTTCATGGACTAATAAGGCTTAAAAGATTCGTCTCGCGATTTCCAACCAAACTGTGCAATTAGTTTTTTTTCGTCTACATTTAATGCTCCATATATGTATCACAAAATTTGATGTGACATTTGATATGACATTTTGGGTTGAAAATTTTTGGAAACTAAACGAAGCGGAGGCCGGAGGCAGGCAAGCAAAGCAATCACCCCCACTAGGAGTCCCAAGGAGTCTAGACTCCGGAAGACGACAGGACGAGAGCAAATCGAAGCAGGACACGGCTGCTGGCGGCCGCATTCGGTCGGGGGAGGAGGCGCACGAGGAGCGATGGCCTGCCTGCACGATCACAGCTGCGAGGATCACGACTGCGCCGCCGACTGGTCGCTCTACAACCACATCGACGTCCCCAAGGTCCTGTAATCCTCCCCACTCCCTCTCACCTGTTGCCAGATTGATCCGCTGCCCTTCCCCCTCCTCCCTCCTTATTGTGCCTTTGTTTTCGACGGCTTCGTAAGATTCCGTTCGTACTGTACCTGCGAGGGTACGACCACCCTAGACATTGAAGACCTTCTCACGCCGTCCAGAAAACTCTCGAACCCCCACCGTCGCCATTTGAGAACAGGCCAGCGGGAGAGACGAGGAATTTTTTTTAACCCCACGCTGAAATTCGCTCCCACAAAGAGTCGAACCAGCACCTTAGAGGAGTGCCGCCGGGACGCCTAAGCCGTTAGACTAGAGGCCCTTTGGCAGATTCCGTTGGTACCACGCGGCGCATCGGATTGTGCGACATTGTACAGTACAATAGGCGGTGAACAAGGATTTAGGGCGGCGGCTGACCCCTTCTCGTGCGCGCAGGTGGTGGCTCTGAACGAATCTGTGCCCGGGAGCGTCAAGTCCGTCTTCAAGCCCTGGGAGCAACGCCTTGACACCTCGGGGGTATGTACCAATGCCTCCTCATGTCCTCGTTGCCTTAATTGTTTTTAGTGGAAGCTAGGGTTCACCGGCTCAGTTAGGTGATGCAAAATGTGTACATCTAGTTCAGTATCCACTAAGAACGATTGTCCTTTTCTTATTATATTAGGACTTAGGAGTGATAAATTTGTAATGACTTTTTCTTCCTTTGTTGAAAATGCGTCTTCTTGTGATCTAAAATCTCCAAAATGAAGGCATATCTAGTGAATTATCGTCATCTGTGAAATATGGCACGTGTTTAAGAATTATATCGATTAGTTGTCACTGCCACAATTCTGATGTCACATTCAAGGAATTTTTAGTTGCCAACTTTCCTTCAAAGTTTTGTATATTTTTGACTTGTAAATACAGTCATGCTGGGTAACTATTCATGATTCTATTAGTATACGAGGATTACCCCTTTTAAGGGGGTAAAATGTGTGTAAAGCTTTAATGAGAGTAGACATATGAGACTCAAATAGGAGGAAAAATGTAAGCGGTAACTAGCATGTCTGCATCTGCCTGGTAGCTAATGGAACTTTTTGAAATGTATGTTCTTCATTGCAGGGAGCTTCATTTGCTCATGCAAGTTACATGGCAGCATGATGTAGACATTGATGATGTGTTATGCATTTATTTTTGGGGAAATTGCTTGTATAGCACTCTCTCAGAATTGTTTTGCAAACATACCACTGCCCGAGCTTGGGTTACTATTTAGCACTGGTTATTGTCTCCATTTTGTTCCTTGTAGCATTGCAGCATCCGATTGTGCATGGATGGCATAGACCTGCCCAAGATGCTCCACAACCGTTAACTTCTCTCTCTTCTCAATTTTTGTCACAACAGCAACACGGCCAGCCAGGGGCTCCCAGCGTCGCCCTTTGCCGCCAGTACTGCCATGCCTCGCTATAGAGGCTCATTCTCCTTATCTTGTCTCCTGCTTCGTGCCGCCTCTGCGCCTTCCTCCCCTCTCTATCTCCATGTTCATCCTCTATGCTAGCTGCCCTACTCATGGATGGTGGGGCCTGACCTACCATGGCAGCCATGTCCGTGCAGGAGCGGGTCAAACTTTACACAGTGCCAGGGTGGCCGCCTGATGCTGTCCCTTGGTGAGGCTGCACTGTGCTCGCCGAAGAGACCACATACTAGATCTGGAATATGCAGAGCAAATCAGTTGGGGCCTTGCATGAATTGAGTGGCTGCGGAGCGAATCAAGCTACAATTGATTCTGTTGGAGGCTCCTTCATGATTGCTTGATGCTCTAGTATGCGGGATTGACAGCATCGTATGAAGTGAAGGTGGGAACTTGGGGCTTGGTTTAACTGCTGTGGGAGTGGTGGACTAAGCTGGAGAGGAAGGAGGAAGGGAAGGGGTGGTATCACAGAGGAAAACCAAGTAACTAAACAGTGCTAAATAGGAGAGTAGGCTTGGAGAGTGGTATGTTTTCAAAACGGTCTGGAAGTGTTATACAAGCAAGTTTCCCTTCTGTATTTATATAATTAGTGGTTTTTCAGTTCAGATCCTGTTCCTTAAGTTCCTCATCATTTGTAAAATATCCATTCTCATGAGCATTCTTGCTGCACCAGGGTTTTCTGGAGAGTAATGAGGGTGACCCTGAGCTACTTATTTTCATCCCGTAAGTAGCTCACTTGCTCGTTTGATGTACAGACACGTGTTCCCCGGTTGTTACTTGGTTTCCTTTATTTTATTTTGAAAGAGTAATTCTAAGTTGCTTCATGACCTCTAGTTGAAGTATAGCAACGTGATGAAGTGTTTTTTTTTTAAGAATTTCGTCAAACATAAGATTGCCTGAGGTAGTGTTCAGTTTATGAACTATGTGGTGTTTCAGGAACAAGTATATTTATTATGTGGAATAGTTTATCGGTTTTTGCCCTTTTGTATTGTGATTGTTCTCAACAGACAGCAGTTCACTCCAGGGCAGTGCTCTAACATGTTGTACTTATCGATATTTATTCATCTTTCTCCCTTATTTTAATCTTTTGGTGGTTAGTAAGACTTCTTTCAGAAGTTTAATACCCACATACCCAGAAATAATGCGTTGAAATGATGCCTGCAGAACACATGTCAATCTGTACTTTCAAGACTTTTAATCATGTCCTTTTTGCACATCCTTCCATCAATTTTGTGAAATATCCTAATTCCTAAGGAAACGAGAATGTTTTGTTTTAGTGTGTATGAGCCCCCTTAAAGCATCAGGCACTGTGTTAAGTTGATATTGCATGCCCTTGCAGAAGTTACTTCTTCAGTCTTTATGTATAATTGCATTGAATTCATGACCTGCATGAATTTCTGTATGTTGATATTATCTTTATTTGGTTTCAGAGCTAGAAATACCTTCCCCTTCTTTTGTCTGTAATTCTAATCCAAAAAATGTTAAACACGTGTAATCATGTTTTCCTGTTGGTTGTAGGTTCACATCAGATGTTAAGATCAAGAGCATTTCTGTTGTTGGTGGTGCTGATGGAACAAGCCCGTCAAAAATGAGAGCGTTAGTTTAGAGATATAGCTTTTCTTTTCCTTGTCATTCTCTTTCTCATGGCATGATATTTATGAAGATTACCTTGACATGATCCAGGTTTATCAATAGAGAAGGCATTGACTTTTCAGATGCTCAAAACATGCAGCCTGTGCAGGTATGTATTCAATTTTCTATCCGTGCCATAAGTGGAAACTCCACTTTAATGATGTACATTTCTCCTAGGAATGGGAATTAGCGGAGAACCTGCAAGGAGCTCTTGAGTACCAAACAAGGTATGTTCTGTTCTGTAATTGTTCATCCAGTGCCCTTTGGTTTTGGTAACAGATAAATATTTTCTGATAAATCACGTTCTTAGAGCTTCAAAAGTCTTTCTGAACATATGTTCCATTTGACAAACACTCATAAAGCTTGTGAAAGACTCAAATTCATTAGATTTTTGCCTGATCCTGTGCAAATTAATAGACATTTTTCATGTAGGTACTGGACTACTCTAGGCCACTTTTGTTTTTTCTCTGTCTACTGAATGGCCTGTAACTACACCCTCCGTTTTTTATTATATGTCGTATTAGCTTTGTCCTAAGTCAAACATTTGTATTTGACCATCGATTTCCAAAAAAGTATATAGATTCATGGCATGAGTTTTATGTTTTTAGATTCACACTGAGAATAAAAAGGGCGTACTCAATGCAGAGAGCTCCCGCTCTGTGCGGGGTCTGGGGAAGGGTGTCAGTGGCAAGCCTTACCCTCGCCTGTGCAATGCGAGGAGACCGCGACTACTTCCATACAACAACAACAACAAAGCCTTTAAGTCCCAAACAAGTTGGGGTAGGCTAGAGTTGAAACCCAACAAAAGCAATCAAGGTTCAGGCACGTGAATAGCTATCTTCCAAGCACTCCTATCTAAGACTAAGTCTTTGGGTATATTACATCCTTTCAAGTCTCCTTTTATTGCCTCTATCCAAGTCAACTTCGGTCTTCCTCTGCCTCTCTTCACGTTACTATCATGGCTTAGGATTCCACTACGCACCGGTGCCTCTGGAGGTCTCCGTTGGACATGTCCAAATCATCTCAACCGGTGTTGGACAAGCTTTTCTTTAATTGGTGCTACCCCTAATCTATCACGTATATCATCGTTCCGAACTTGATCCCTTCTTGTATGACCGCAAATCCAATGCAACATACGCATTTCCGCGACACTTATCTGTTGAACATGTCGTCTTTTCGTAGGCCAACATTCTGCACCATACAACATAGCAGGTCTAGTCGCCGCCCTATAAAACTTGTCTTTTAGCTTCTGTGGTACCCTTTTGTCACATAGGACACCAGATGTTTGCTGCCACTTCATTCACCCTGCTTTGATTCTATGGCTAACATCTTTATCAATATCCCCGTCTCTCTGTAGCATTGATCCTAAATATCGAAAGGTATCCTAGGCACTACTTGACCTTCCAAACTAATATTTTCCTCCTCCCGAGTAGTAGTCCCGAAGTCACATCTCATATACTCAGTTTTAGTTCTACTGAGTCTAAAACCTTTGGACTCTAAAGTCTCCCGCCATAACTCCAATTTCTGATTCACTCCTGTCCGGCCTTCATCAACTAACACTACATCGTCCGCGAAAAACATACACCACGGGATGTCCCCTTGTATGTCCCTTGTGACCTCATCCATCACTAAGGCAAACAAATAAGGGCTCAAAGCTGACCCTTGATGTAGTCCTATCGTAATCGGGAAGTCATCCGTGTCTCCATCAATTGTTCGAACTCTAGTCACAACATTGTTGTACATGTCCTTAATGAGCCCGACGTACTTCGTTGGGACTTTATGTTTGTCCAAAGCCCACCACATAACATTCCTTGGTATTTTATCATAAGCTTCTCCAAGTCAATAAAAACCATGTGTAGGTCCTTCTTCTCCCTATACCGCTCCATAACTTGTCTTATTAAGAAAATGGCTTCCATGGTTGACCTTCCGGGCATGAAACCAAATTGGTTCATAGAGACCCGCGTTATTGCTCTCAAGCGATGCTCGATAACTCTCTCCCATAGCTTCATAGTATGGCTCATCAACTTAATTCCCCGGTAATTAGTACAACTTTGAATATCCCCTTTATTCTTGTAGATCGGTACCAATATACTTCTCCTCCACTCATCAGGCATCTTGTTCGATCGAAAAATATGGTTGAACAGCTTGGTTAGCCATACTATAGCTATGTCCCCGAGGCATCTCCACACCTCGATTGGGATACCATCCGGTCCCATCGCCTTACCTCCTTTCATCCTTTTTACCGCGACTACTTCCATAATATATAATTTATATATTGTGAAACTCTAAGAATTTTTTGTAATAGATGGTCAAACTAAGTAATGTTTGACTTTAAGACAAAGCTAATGTGACATGCAAAAAAAACTGAGGGAGTAGTATGCTCTTAAGTTCTCTTTGTAGTTTGTACACGGAATAATTTCTCATTTGCTCTTCATACCTTTCTCCCCTGTTTCTCAGATATTCAAGGTTCCAAGGTGTGGCTAACCTAACTCTGCATTTCTCTGACAACTTTGGTGGTGATACAACTAAGATTTATTACATTGGACTACGTGGTGAAGCCACTCAAGTACTTAAGTTTTGTTTCGCTATTTATGTATAATAAAGAAAAAACATAGTCGAACGCCAATAAAGAAAAAAACATAGTGGAACGCCATACTGATTCTTGATTGCTTCGTACTGCTTGTCCCAGAACAAAAGGGATGTAGTTGCGACAATTGTATATGAAGTCATGCCCAATCCTTCGGATCACAAGTAAGTTGTTATAATATAATGTTTCACATCAAGTCTACTAGTGTTGATTATAGTACAGTTGCACAAGGGAAATTTGACGCCTTATAATGTTGTATGACCTAGATAGTTTCTCCATAGTCAATATCCCTTTAGCTTTAGGAAGTTTTCAAGTTAGTGATTTTGCTAAGGTGCCTCAGAATAGGAAGAGAAGGTTCTTAGGTCCTATAAAATTGTTCCAGTCTTCCAGCAGGCTTAAAATCGAATCCTTCTTGAAGCACGCCTCTGGGTGGTAGGTGGAGCTGCTGGTTCCTTTCTAACCCTAATTTCCATATTGTTAAATCAACCTGCAATTTGACTATGCTATTTCTCTGTTCCAAATTATAGTTCACTTCGGCTTTTGTCCTAAATCAAATTTCTTTAACTTTGACTGAGTTTATAGAAAATACACCAACATCTATAACATCATATTTGTTTCCTTAAATTCTCCATGTGCATTTATTTGAACTTTAATAAGTTAATATTTTTCAAAGTATTTGCCAAAGTTAGAGATGTTTAACTTACGACAAAGCTAAAGTGAACTACAATTTGGAATGGAGGGAGTAACATTTAAACTGGGAGTTTGCAAAGGGAATAAATGATCATCTTTGACCCATCTAACTGCTGAGTGCTAGCGATAAGGATATTTTAATAAAAATGGTTTGCTTCACTCATTGTGAACAAGTGATAACACTTTAGCTTGTCGTGCTGGTAACTGAGGCCAGGTGTGATCCCATTTCTCTCCCGTGCAGAACAAAATCTGAGACTGGAGGAGGTTTCTCGCATGTCGAGTAGGCATCATACAAGGTGAGGCATATCTGCTGTTCCAAAGCATACAAGCTGAATTTTTCGTCTGATGATACTAGCTTGCCTTCTTTTTCTCATTTCTGTTTATTTTCTAATAGTTGGGTATGCATCCTCAGCAGAGCTTGAGAAGCAGAAGCTGGGTACTGCGTTGCCTGGAGGCAAATTTGAACCTCGCTTCCCATCAATCAATAATAAGATAAATGGATAATCCCAGCTGGTAGACTTTTAGCTTGACTTTTGAGCACATAACTCTGTACCTGTGGACGCTGTAACTGTTTTGCTAATGCTATCATCAGAGTTGGTCTCTTGTGTTGTTATCTTATTTCAGGTAGCTTTATTCCATTTTCCTGAAGCGGTTATCGTAGATATTTCTCCAGTGTGATCATGCAAACACTTGCGGAAGCCGGAAGGCACTGAAATCCGATACAAGTGCTAAGCCAACTTAGTAGTAGTGGTCATTTATATTTAAATAATCTGCCTGAACAACCATCTAGTGCCAATACCGCGCTTGCGTACTTGGGCGTTCACTTTAAGGCTCTGTTTGGCAGGGCTCTGGCGGCTCTTCTGAAAATGGCTTCTCCTCTGAAGAGCAGCTGCTCTGGAGGAGCTGAAGCCATTCTAGAAAACGTTTAGCAAAATAGCTCTTTCGTACTAGACGACGTGAACTCACAGCAAGGAGCCGCGTGAAGCTCGTTTTTGAGGCTTTTCCTGTGCAGATAAAAAATGGCTTCGGCTCTTGATCGGCTCTCCATGCGGAGCTCTTTCTAAAACAGGTATTTAGCACAGCTCCTGCAAGAGCTGAAGCTGAAGCCCTGCAGGAGCCCTGCCAAAGAGGCTCTAAATCAGCCGAACATGTGACAGTCGATGTGTGCCACGTAATATTTGTTGCATTTGAATGTGAAACTGTGCCACGTAATATTTGTTGCATTTGAATTTGAAACTAGTACAAGAACGAACAGCTTTAAAACAAACCAACTTACGATTGCGACACAATTTTTCTTCTTTTAAGGATTGCAACGCATTGAAAGTACGTTTGGGAAATACATTTCCATCGAAGACGTGAAGAAAGGTGGCGCGAACCCCCTAGATAGTAGATTACCCGTGGATCAATCATTTTAGATAGGCGCTTACTTAGGTTTAGCTTAAAGTTTAATTCGATTTCATTCAATTTGTATCGTTAGATCGGTTTGCTTTAGTAATTTCATTCCAATTGTAAGCTGCCTCATTTTATTTTATCAATGAATAAAGTTGTCTCCTGGTGTGTCTCACCGGACAGACTTTGTTATTTCATCATGTTTTCTGTTGAATAAAAAATCAAGGTTGCCACAAGATTCGGTGTGGGGGTTGATCAACCTCTTTACATTCGGACAATCCCCCACAAATAGCAAAAATGACATCACTGAAAGCCAAGCAAAGCAACCACTGCACCACGTGAAGGCGTCCCTCGGAGGCCACTTGGCTAGGTCACCTGACCAGGCAGGTCGCCCGACCTAGCCCAGTAGCCCATGTGGCCCACCTTGACACGTCTCACAGGTTTGCACTCCTAAAGCCTTCCCTATGCAGAATTTTGTTAACAAAACTTCATTCACAAAAAAAAATGTTAACAAAACTTGCTTAAAAATAATAAAAATTGACCCTAGATTGATCATGACAATGCTTAAGATTGGCTTGCATAAATTTTCTTACTTATCTTGCACTTAATACTTGTGGGCTACTTTTTATAGAATGACCTTCCTAAGTTGTTGTGTTGTGAGATATATTAATGACAAAAGACGTTGCTTTTTCTTTAACCGTGACTTTGGAGATATTTATTTTCAACTAAATTAAATATCATGGCACCATGACTCAAAAGTGATGATGAATACCTACAAAAGCCAAAGTTGGCAAGTCATGTCATTACTAGCCTTCTACGTACTTTCACCTTGTTCGGCTGGTGAAATGATGGCTGTATGTACAGTGCACAAAAATCAGCAAAAGCCTTTCAGCAGAACCAGCCGTTCGGCTGAATTAAAGATTGCCAGCAATTTGAATTCAACAGCCACCATTCAAATTCTGGCGCCAACAGCCCAGCTCACAATACAAACTTGGCGCCAATTACCAGCAAACTGAAGCAACCAGTTACAAGTCATACGTTTGAATCAAATACATAATTGTGCACAGTAACAAGTACCAGGCCCAATAATAAGTTCATCATCACGACGTACAACCATGTCTTAATACAGTTCATTTGTTCACCTCACTACTCTCCTATACATGTGGATTAGTGGAGCATTATACAAAACATGCAGCTGTTCCAACGATCATTTGAAACAACTACACGCAAGCAACTTTGTGCTGGTCTGCTCCACGAACAAGCAGCTCATTGGCCACTCGCCGAATACCTGCATATGCGTACTTTCTAATACTGGCCTACTATTTTCATTTGACAACTACGACTACATCTAAGAAATGGCCTAAGTATAATCTATACAAAATTTGTACCAGTTGCAAGGCACATATGTAACAGCACGAAGAAGACACCCATGCAAAATACCCTTACACAACCTTCACTGATCTTCATGCCATCGTCCAATCCACTTGAACCATCTCCTCCACCCGACACGATCACCTGCAGGGGCACATATTCAGTTGGGATCCAACTAAGGCATGAATCAAATCATTTTGTTAACTGACAAAAGTGTCAACATATTTTGTTTACCTCAACTGTAGACTAGCTACTCCATACTTGATCCAGTCCCGAACCCTACCCATATCCTCAGTCGAATTTTGTGCAAGCCAGGCATGTGTCCATTGGTTCATTGGCGTACCTGGAGTACGAGGTTTCAGCCCCTCCATGTAGTTGTGCAGTCCAAAGCAAGCCAAAATAATCTTGGATTGTTTCTCTCTCGGATAACGAGGAACACCTTGCATCATTTGCCATCTAGCTTTGAGGACCCCAAATAACCTTTCTACGACATTACGCAGACTTGAATGGTGGAAATTGTAAATCTCTTCCCAATTCTCAGCACGCCTTCGCTCAAACTCCCTCAGATGGTACCTGCTGTTCCGATAGGGCCCCGGGTACCCCGCTTCACCAGCGTAGCCCGAGTCTACCAGGTAGTCCCTTCCTGCAAAACACATACACATTAACAATTTCAGCTAGAGTTGAAATTGAAAACAGCAAATTCGTGTACAGTTGACAGTCCCCATACCTTGAGGTGGGTGCGGGAAACCTCACACCGCCCAAGCGTCCCTCAGGACCTTCATGCCGTGCACTGCCCCTGCCTTGCCAACACCAACAAAAGTGAACCGCATGTCAAAGTCGCAAACGGCTATGACATTTTGGCTGGTCCAGCCTTTCCTATTTGTGAAATCATCATGTGCTTTCCGATCAACACAAACCCTTATGTGGGTTCCATCTAGGGCTCCTATGCATCCATCAAAGAAAGGTGTGTACTTCTCCAGTCTTTCATGCACCGTTCTGTAATGTGCGTCCTTTGGCCTAAGAACTGCATCTGCAAATGACGCCACACACTCCAGCACTTCCCCAAACTTATCGCTAACAGTCCCCAATCCCCTTCTAAACCTGTCTGACATTTGCCGTTGACACTGCCTGGTGCCAACTCCCCAAAGGAACATCGCTAAGTCCTCTACGGATGAGAACTCCCCAGTAGATTGCAACCCATGGTTCTGAACTAAAATGTCATGCAACTGGCGGAAGGCGTCCGGGTACATACAGAAGTGTATTTTGCATCTTTTTGGATCCTATAGTACCTTCCGAACCCATTGGATGCCAGTCAATTCATCGATGTCATCCGCTGGAGGCTGCACTGGAATAGCAGTAGCCATTGCCACTAATCCGCCATAATAGGCTGCCAACTCCGTACTGTCCCAGAAACTTGCGCTTGAATCACTTGAATGTTCACTTCCCTCGTCGGTGGTGTCCATGGTCCCCCAACTACAACAACAGATTTGTAAACCTGCAACACAAGAACGACATACATCAGTCAGGCACACTGATTATAGCCCCGGGTGAGGAGGTTGGAGTTCCATTATCTCCATTTACATGACGCTCACCAGATCAGATCGCCTAGCAGGCGCCAAGGTGTGAACACCGAAAGAATGCAGTCACATTGTTAGATCAGCGTGGCCACCACCATGTGCAAACCTGGAAACCAACATCGACATGTCAGTTCAGGTGCATGGAAACGGAAACAAAAAAATGGCGCAGTATGACAAAATACAAACCTTCATAATAGAGTCTTGTCTTGTTTTAGTCCAGACCAAATAGCTTCACTATATGCTGCGCCTGACGCCTTCAACTTGGCACCCAACCGAGGCAAGTATCTGCAAACCACGAACAAAACATAAGAATCAGTTCCTTGAAGGTTTAGGATGACTACAACATTAACTTGACAAGAACAAGGCCAATCATTATAGATCACCATTACATCCAGAAACATTATTTAAACCAGGTTTCACAAACAGAAAGTCCAACGAACACACAACAGGTTCAAACAGTCTTAACGATACAGTTCGAAATTGTAAACAACTGATTCGCGACGATGAAAACTGAAACTAGAACTAAAACACGCTCAACATTCTTCTTGATAAGCCTAGTTGCGGTTCTGCTTGCTCTTCGTCCAGGTCCACTCGATGTACTTGACGCGATGTTCCTTTTCTTGGATGTTCTTGTACTGAGCCCGGCACACTACCTTCTGGAACAGATCCAAAGCCATGTAGTACAGCTCACACCCTTCGATGACACCGTCTTGACATAGCATTTCCATCACTTCAGCTTGCTCCTGTTGCTCACGGGACGCTCACGGGATGACCCGATCATCGGCAACACCCGGCTCACCAAGGTACTAATGGACAGAGGCAGAGGCCTCAACATCCTCTACGCCAACACCCTAGAGCTCCTGGAGCTCGACCAGTCACGGCTTCGAGGCGGTGCCACACCCTTCCATGGCGTCGTGCCGAGGAAGCGCATGTGACCCCTCGGGCGCATTGACTTGCCAGTCTGCTTTGGCACTCCCTCCAACTACCGCAAGGAGACCCTTACCTTCAAGGTGGTTGGGTTCAAGGGGACTTATCACGCTATCCTGGGGCGCCCGTGCTACGCCAAGTTCATGGCGGTCCCGAACTACACCTACCTCAAGCTCAAGATGCCCGGCCCCAATGGCGTCATCACTGTCGAGTCCACGTACGAGCATGCATACGACTGCGACGTCGAATGCATCGAGTACGCCGAGGCCATCGTGGAGTCCGAGGCCCTCATCGTCAACCTCGACCAACTCGGTAGCGAAGTGCCTGACTCCAAGCGTCGTGCCGAGACTTTTGAGCCCATAGA